TCGGAAAGAATGAGAGGAGAGACACGAGAGGGCTGGCAAAAGAAGCGAAGGTTTCTCCCGCCAGATAATACGCTCGCGAGCATACGTATTCGCGGATGCGTCGACTCTTCTTTCTCGTTATTAAGGGAAGAGAAGGAGAGAAACGCGAGAGGTGAATGCCGAAAGAAAGAGAAAGAGGGATCGGCGAAGTATGCCTCCTTTTTGCAACGCCCGGAGGCCAAACGCGCGCACCAAAGATGCACCGCGGTTCTACACTGTTTCCTAAACTTTCTAGTGGCTCTCGGTACTGCACGACCGGCTGGAAAACCGGACGATGCCGGTTCCAAGAGACCATTCTGGATCGCCGGCTGGAATTGGAACGGGCCCTCGATGGATCACTTCTGATGCAACTGAGATGTAATGTTTTCGATTTGAATATTTAAACTTTTACTAATTATTTTTATAAATAGTTTGTACGTAATAAAATACTCTCTAGCACGCGTGCGAGAATAGATATTCTGATTGAAAAATGATTAACGTGTGAACACTCGATCCTAGAACAATATATAACGTTAAATCATGGAGTGTTCGCGTGTCAGGTTGTTGCACGCATCGAAAGAAAAACCTCTGTATCGGTACGAGAACGAGCGACCCACTAGAATCCCGCTACTCGGGTAAAGATAGAAACAGGAACGGAAAGAGAGTAATCAGAAGGGGGCACCAACCGAGTATCCAGCGAGGAGAGAAGGAGTAATGAGAGGTAGGGGTTAAATCTAGTAGCTTTCCATTCTCATACCAAACCCCAAATTCACTGGGGTTGAACAAACCATTGCAATAAACACCTATATCTACTTAGTGGTGACTGACCCTTGGCTTTCCGGACTTAAGGTATCGATACAGATTATCCTATGAATAGATCAAAGAATTTGTTAAACTGCAATTCGATGAGCAGATAAAGAAAGAAATAAAGAAACGTGGGAGAGACGAGAGAGATCCACAAAAGAACCTCAAGAAATATATCAAAATATAACAACCATATTCCAAAGAAATACTAATGTTCCAAAATCTCCTCCAAAACCACATCGTTTAATCGATCCTAAATCTTACAGTTGGCGCGAAAATGCAGCAACAACCGCGTGCAAACATCGCAGCACGCTGGAGATACAAATCGAGATCCAATAACGCGCGATTCCTGATAGCGGGAAGACGAAGGGGGTCTTTAGAAAGGAGAACGAACGTTTCGTTTCGTTGGCAAGGGGATGACGCGAAGAAAAGGACAGCAAGGAAAGAGGGAGAGGCAGACAGTGTAACAGAGAACAGAGAGAAAAGAGAAAGAGATAGGAGATCCCGTTGTCAGTAACACTCCCCGGTAGAATACGTAGGACCTCGAACTCTGCGGATCGATACGAGTTCCTGGTAGACTCGCGAAAGGGGGCTTCAGGAGGGGGGCTAGGGTGGCAGAAGAGCCGTACGAGGTGAGGGGATGGGTTGGCGGTAGTGTTTGTGGGGTGCGGGGGTGGACTGACACAGGGACGCCTCGAGGGTGTTTCCATGGTGACGGGAATTATCGTCCGGGGTGGGTGTAGGGTCTTCGTCTCTCTCCCTCTCTCATCATCCCCTTCTCGAGGTTTTTCCCTAAAACACACGCCGGTACGTGCCCTTTTTTCTCCTTCTTCCGGCTAAACTCCTGATTTTCGAACGCTTCCAAAAAGGGTTGCCTTTTTTCTACCTCCATGGGGAGGGTTGGAAGAAACGACCAACTGATGAACGTTCAAGAAGCTTTTCTAAGGTAAGGGAGTCGAAGCAGAAGAACACAGAAAGACGAGGTGCATCAGCGATTCGCTGGAAATGCGAATCCGGTGGTGTTGGTAATTCGTTGGGAACAGGTTCTCCTGGACAAAGAAAACCGGAGGACAAAATCATCGACATAAATTCACCCGCGAAAGAAGGGCGAATAATCCCTTTCGAGGTTGACGCAGATTCAGTTGTAGAAGGAATGGGAAAAAAGGAAAAGATCTGCGGGGTTGAGTGGCTAGGTCCGCGGTCAATTGATTAATTCCTGATTTTCTTGTCTAATTGATGTGCTAGGTGTAATAATTGAATACTAGACAGGTGGTCAGTAAGATACACTGATTATAAAGAAAACTTTGTTTCAAGAGATTGTTTTAACATAGAGTACCTAATACTTCCTGCAAAGGAATTCGCAGGGAAATGAGTTTGGAAATTGCAAATGCATCATATATGCAACCTATTAACCTGTATGTACTCATCTAACTTCGAAATTAGATATCGAATTTCTACCATACCCATATTCAAAACTTACTTCTTAATTTTATTATTAAGCAGAAAGGTGCCTTAAGCAGAAGCAACTTAATTTGCCTTTATTCATTAACCATATCCCAATTAACAAATGTCAAATTAGTCAAATTCATAAGAAAATATTAGCGCATTAGTATTTAATTTAAGAAATTGCAATAACACATCGCGTTCGAAAGAGTATCCTAATGGACCGACCATTGGTCGACCAATCGAATTCCCCGGAAAATTAGCAATCGAACCGGCGGCCAGCGGGTGGTCTCGTAGAACGATCGAAACCGATGATCTCACCTCGAGATATCGATACTAACGGCGAGGTCGTCGAGTCTCGTGTCGTGGAAAGTTCCACTTGGCTCGAGAGAGGCAGGAAAGCTGCGCAGACGTGGTACGCGTAATCGTTCCTCCGCGCGCACACCCAAAACGCCTAATTTATATCTCCGCTTCTAATCAAGGTATCGACAAAATTCCTCTTGCAATCAATTCTAGACCATTTCGCAGTTCTACGTTTTAAATTTCATCAAAATCGGTCCAGAAATATGGACGCTACGATGAATTTTAGGATTGCCGTTCCGTGAACAGTTTTCCTATGAAATATCGATTTTCCTCGATAACTATCGATTCTGTCGTATTGTATACGATACATCGATGATTAACAATGATATTTATAAACGATATGTGTAATAGTATGATCAGAATAGTGAGAAATTAATGAATTTTAAAGGGAGGCATTTTTAGAATTACTGACGCAAGATTCATAAATTTGAACGAGTATATTTGAAACGATTAGACTGTGCTTAACAAGAGGTTGTTTATATTTAAGGAGGATGTAAATCATGGCGCAACGCGGGTTCTGTCCGCGAACAAAAGGAGGGTGTGGCGGATTTACGCGAGTTTACGGTTCGAAATCGAAAATAGAACGGCCCCATAAACGCCGCCACGCTCGCCGGCCACTAGGATACGTGAAATTTAACACGTAGAAAGTCCGTGAGTTTATCAATCACCGCACGAGCAATTCCGCGCGTGAAACTCTGTTCGGCGAGTACGCTCTCGCGCGAGTCCGCGCGAAACGGTGAAATTGATCGATACCAGTCGATTAGTCGATCGAACGAGGAACTTGGTTCATCAAGATATCTTTCAAGATGCTGTACAAATACAGTACTCGCTCGATAATTTTCTGCTTTCAAGACTAGGCACTAGACCCAAATATTGTAAAGTGAAGGTTGGTCGGTGTTTCTCCTCGAGAAAGCGCAAAATACAAAGAAAAAGGGAAAGAAATCGTTCACAGAAAGGGGAGAAAAGACGAAAATCGAGGGTAGAAAATAGGCAACAGAGAAAGCAGTTTGAATTTGTAGTCGGTCTACCGCATTCGTGTCGGGACGAGTTTCGAGGGAAGGACCCAGAACCTGTGGCAAACTAACAAAATGGTAGGACCCATCAGGCCTGGTCAAAATCGAGCAACAAGTTGCAGACCGCCTCTGGCTCCTATAGGGTGTACTGAAAATAAACCGCGAACCCCTTAGCTCCGCTAAGAAAACAGAAAAAATTTGCGGCAAATGGTAAATCACTATTTCTAATCAACGTGTTAATAACATAGGTAATTAATATACGAACAATTATTTACGCAGTGATCCACAGGAAACTTAGAATCCAAAGATATCGAAAGACTATCATTAACATCGTTTCATCGAATAGTTCGACATTTACGCGTGTTGCATTGTATGGAAAGTAGGTCACGCGTTTTCGCTATCACTACGAGTCGTTAACGTTTTATCGTTTATCTAATTACCAGCATCATCTGTCGAGCGTGCATGGATGGAATTAATCGGTGATGTAGATTCGATTGAAAATGCGAAATCGGGCATCCGTTGACACTCTTTCATACGCGAATTACGCGAAAGCCTAATGTAATTAAATGACAATTGTGCCTATTAACCGAGCGTGAGTAAAGCGCTATTGCTGCGAAATTCGTACGATTTTTTGTAGGGATTAGGTTAAATAAATAAAAAAGACTGATAGGTAATTTGTCTAATAAAAATTTGGGCATTTTATTAAGAATCTCTTTAATTACAGAAATTTATAAAAAACAAATCCTTCAAGACGATGAGATGTCAGTTTGTAAGAAAATGGCGAAGCTTCGAGTTTAAAATCATCTTCATCCTGTTCCTTCTTTTTAACGTTCCTGAAAGATAGAAATTTCCAACTGTTAAAACTTGGTCTTTCTACGTTTTAGAAGGTGGAGAAAATAATATGATTTTTTGACTTACCATACATCGATTTTTTCATTCTTTGTTCAACTTACCATGTATAGGTCTTCATTTTGTACTTTTAGTTTCTTTGAACGAAAATTTGTGATCAAAACTACGAGAATTCAGCTTTTCAGTCTTTGTAACTTCGTTGAAACATGCCTTTTTAGAAGATGAAAAATTGGGAAAACTAAAATTTATAAATCAGAACCTCCCCTTAATCGACAGAGACTCGGTCGAGCTTTGGAGAGGTGTCCCATGCGTACGTGGGAGTCACGGGGACGAGTTCGCGCGATAATACGGGGCTGATAACGCGACGACGTACGATCGTAAGTCGCGTCGCACACCTACACGTGTACATCCGCAACACGCTTGTACACACAAGGCGCGGTGCGTCGCTCCGTATAAAGAGCGGTGCATTGCGCCAAGCCTGTGCGCCAGTGAATTAATAATCGAACTTACGTGGGTTGCTGCTCGTCTACCGGGTGTCTACGCTCGTCGACGAAACGAGACATTGTTTGCTTGAAGAACCGCCTAAAAACAGAGAAAAATAATATTGTAAAATTAACTGGCGCCTTCGTTACTTATTATGTGTCATAGGAAATTTAAATTATCATAAGGAATTAGGGGGATGAAGCTTCTAGGTTTTATTATAAATCGCAAAGAATTTCAGTGCTAAATGAAAATAGCAAATAGATTGGTTTTACACTGACTTTTAGCTTTCAACTCTGGAAAATTATCCAGAAATTGCATTGTCGTGGTGTAAGGTTGATCTCGAGGGTGATAAATAAGGGTTGATAAGAAAACACCTTCTATAAACCTTTTTTTATGAACGTAACTCACGATACCTTATTAATATGAACAGTGAAGGTTGTTTTTACTAAAAGTCTGAGAACAGAAACATGGACAAAAAGGAACAGTTTCTGTACAGAAATATAATGAGCTTCGTTAAAAATAATTATTACAGAAAATCAACAATTAACCACTGCATATAAGAGCACAACAACGTTCGAAAAGCTTTCGCAAACTATGCCGCTTTCTAAACGAGGATCCCTCGCTCGATGCACGAGTTGCAAATTAGTTAAACTACCGCTTCTCCTACATCCACATGTTACATCCGCAATGTTGGCGGAAGTTAACTTATCCGAATCGAAGAAACTTTATCACCGAACTAGGTAGAACGTTAATATTCGTGTAACTAATTTATCATCTTACATTACAGAACTTAGATCTAACTTGATTCTGTTCGTTCCTTTAATTCTGACTTAAATCTGTTTGCAATTTTATGACTAATCAAGGTTAACATACTTATTGAAATTTTGTCTATGACATTGTAAAAGGGAAATAAATCTAGTATTCTAAGAAACTCTGTTAAAAACAAAAAGAAACTCGATCTATGCCCCGAAAACGTGTTCGAAGAGGTCTCTACCGCTCTAACTTTAATTATCATTTAACTCAGAAACTACCCATCTAATAACAATGAAATATATATGTATTTTCATGACAAATGGTAAGGAATAATATGCAAAAGGTTTTATCTCGATATCTTCATTCGTTCTCGAGATATTAAATGGTCCTTTTTTCCAACCACGATATCGCTCGGAACTTAGTTCTGGTTTCAATGGAAGCAAGGCGCATGCGTGCGCGCCGAAACTACTCCAATGATTATCCTACTATAAAATATATATTTTTGGACCTGAACACCTTACTATTTGATATAACAATTAACCTCATAATTATGTATCATAATTTATGGATTATTTACGATTACTGTTTTGCAGAATAATGCATTACATTGGTGTCAATTGGTCCTCGCAATCGATATTTTTGACTAGAAGGTTTAAATATAGCTCATAAGGTGCTAAAAATTGACAAGGTATCTGTTTCTTTATGTAACTAACTGTATATTATTACCATATTCAAACGTAACCTATTTCAATTGCTATTTCGCGCTCGAGCAAATACATCATCTCTTTTTTTAAGTCCAAATTGCGGAGGTAGTTACAACACTACAATGGAATGCTATGCATTACAGAAGTTGAATTTTTTTTTTCGAAGACTCATAAACTATCTAAGGAATGGCGAATTTTAGCAAAGATGAATGTAAACGCTATAAGCTACATGTTTGAGGGACTCCGAAATTTTCAAAGACTTGTCACCAATTCATATTGCAAGCCTTTAATATCTATATGCTGATGTAAAATTTTGAATTACGAATCTTTTATTGCCTTTAAAATTTTATTTGAGGTCTAAACTAATCAGAACAGACTTAACTCCGAATATTCTAAAGGTGAAAGGCAACGTCCACTACTAAATCTAAGAGTAGCAATTTCTAATGAGGTATAGACAGCGAACTTAAAATTTCAGGCATCAAAAATTCCACAAAACATGAGGCCGTCAATGCCCCCTTTTCTTTGTTCTTCCTTTAATTGTACAAAGGCCCACAATGTAACATTCGATTTAGATACAGGAAGGACGTGCCACGCCCTATTTTCGACATTGCGGTATCCGCGATGGACGGCCCGCATAATGAGAAACACGAATCACTGGCCTCATCGTTCTGCTATATCTCTGGTCGCGTGTGCTACTACTTGGCGCGCGTTTCCTCTTATTTATCGCCTTCTTCTGCAACTTTAATTAACTCGCCGCCATCACTTGATCATTACACTGGTTCTAAGTACTTGTTTTTATAAATTTTACGTGTTTTCTCGTTCGCGTTATAAACACGGATCTTATACCAGTTAGGACATAAATCCTTATTAAAGCTTGATGCATTGGCGCAAGCCACGTCGGAGATTAAAATGGACGCAAGTTCCAAATTTAACATATCAAGATCTTTCGAAATTTGATACATTGCATTGAATATATCTATGAGTGACAATCGATAGACGGATCACTTTTAATTACTATTCTGCTCATATGTGTGTACAAATAAGACTCGTTACGTAATCACTATCAAAGGCTAAAATTACAATGGAACCGAATAGCTCGGTAGCCGGAGATCATTTAGCTCGAACGAAGTCCTAAAGGAGGTATTAAGGAGATTAAGGAGGTTGCATTAAAGCCGCGAACCCAACAGCTACGATGACAAAGAACAAAGGAGAGCATTGCTTGTACGCGGGGTAAAGAAAGAGGAGAAAAGGAGGGGACGTGGCACAAGCTGCGTACCCGCAGCACGCCATCTACATCGGCTTTGTGTATTCCATGGTTGCGCAATATCGCGCCGCTCAAGAAAGTCGCCCAACGTGCCACGGAAAGCTTCTATTTTTTTGATGCATCGCCCGGCGAAACGCTTTTACACGGCAATTGATCGAGCCTCAAAGCCCGGCGAACATCATCGGGATCGGATGGAGAAGGGAGAAAAAGGAAGTCGCAAAAGAGGGTACGTTACTCCCATCCCGCTGGCAACCCGTTGGAGTAAGGGTACGACGGTCGTAAGGCCAAAGCGAGTTGGATTACAAACATTACGAGTTAAAGGGAGAAGGGAGGCAGGGATGTAGGAAGGGAGGAACGGAAGCATAGACAAAGAAAGGAAGAAAGGGGAAAGGTGCACGCGATGAGAGACACCGAAGGGTGGGGAAAAAGCAAAGGAGAGAAGATCGGTCTCCGTGCACGGAACGTAGTGGTTATAAAGAGAAGCGGCATCGCTGCACGGCTACTTGCCTCTCCAGGGCCAGGATATTTCAATACCGACGGTGGTCGGCCACCGCCGACGTGGCTGGCGAAGAGGGGAAATGCTTGTGACGATGTTCCGTTCGTATATATGTAAATTGTATATATGTACTCTGCCCCTCTCGTCGCCCCCTCACCCACGTGCCCGCCCTACGGGTGCACACACGATAATATATACACGACTTTACACACCCGTGGGCGTTCAAGAGAGAGCGAGATAAATATATATATATGACCGATGGCACACGGTAGCGGTAACGCTATTCGGGTTTCCCTGCACGAGGGGAAGAACGACATAGAGGGAGGGGAGAGTTAGTCTGTCTCTGTTTCGCGACATACACAGAGGGGGAAAGTTGCGGCAAAACGGAAAGGCTGGCGTCGCGGGGAATGCAGGGACGCGCGCGGTACGACGACGGGGACCTCGAACCGAACACCCGTCTACCGACCGATTGTTCGTGAGCCCGCCTTCTCGACGAGTCGAGGGGAACGGACGGTGGGCTGTGCCACCGTTCGATTGGTCGCCCCGTTCGGCGAGGTTAGCTGCGTTGGTGGCGCCTCGAGAAACCCACCAATCGAGCGCCACCGTCCTGGCTTTTTTATCCTGCTATTTACGCCGAAGGACGGAGAAGAGCTGTCTCCCCCATCTAACTATCTCGCTCGTTTTCTATCCCTCTCCTTTTCCTTCGCTCCACTGCTCTCCCTGTGTGTTCGTCGGCACGGGAGAGGACACTCTCGTTTCGGGATCCGTTGAGGTTGCACACGTTTTCACGAACAGAGCGCCGCCCGTATACTGCGACGCGCTCTATTCTACGTAGTTTTTCTTCGATACCGTGTACACCGTGATAGAGAGTTTCATTTTTCGACGGGTAACCCGTTCCTAGCCTCTGTTTACTGTTAAAACGCACCCGTACACTAGACGGTTGATGCGGTGCGGTAGTGTTGTGTAGTATGTGACAGTACGTCGTAAGAGGATACAGTGTTGCCAGATCGTGGGCGCGAATACACGGCAAGAGCGGTACACCTCGATTCGCAAGAATTTTCTTTGAAAAATCGTGGGTGCATCGGTGAAGAGTGAAGTCATACGGTGTGTTTAGTTGGTTACGGTAAATGGTATGCGTTAGGTGGACATTGTAAATTCTCAAGTTTATCGGTAATACGCCAGTGACATTTGGAGCGGTACTATCGATGAAATAGAGTTGGCAACGTCGCATCGACTGGTCTCGCACACAAATACAGGGATACACACGTACCTAGAAGGGAACTTGGGGTGGCTGGCTAGCAGGCAGGCAGGCAGGCGGCAGGCAAACAGGCAGGCAGGCAGCTTTCTTGTTCCGAGGACGGCGCTCCTGGTCGCGCCGTCTCTCTTTTCTACCTCCATTGCGCTTGCTCTTCTCTCCCTTTTCTTCCCTGCCCTCCTCGTCCTCGGTCACTCAATCACACTCTCCTTCTTTTGCTTAACCATCTCTTTCTCTCTCACCCGTGTGCGGCGCACGTACCGTTGAGAACTTCTCCCTTCCCCTTTGATACTCTTTCTCTACCGTTTTATCCCTTCCCCTCCTAACCTCGAGCGGGTCGGGCGAGTCCACTAAGCTTGCGAGGGGAGTTCGGCAGACCTCGGCTCTAGTCGGCCTCGATCCGCAGAATGTGCTAGACGCTGTGACTCGATTGCTCCAATTTTCAATTAATCGTATACAGATTGGCTGTCCAGTGTTTACGAGGCTCGAAAACGTCTCACCGCGTTACTTTCGTGGATTCACAAGTTTCCAGTGCCTGTATCAACGTTACTTTTCACCATCAGTTTGAGACGCACTCGACCAGCGTATATCCGTACGACGGCCATGTTTGGTGTTTACGAGGTGAGGGGGAACTGCTGACGTCACGAGCCCCGATCTTACACGAAGGGAGCAGCAGCACCAGCAGAAGCAGAAAACGTGTTGCCGGCCAACACGGACACCCGACTTCCATTGATTCCAACGATTATCAGAAAAAGGACTTAATAATACGCGTTCGAATTTGAACCGTGGCTACTCGACGCGTATACGTAAGCGTAATTATTGTGCAGTGAACACACGAGGAAGAAATTCGCGGCGCGCAAACTGTGCCGCCTAAAATTCCCTTCCCGATGGGACGTGCGTGTACTCCGACTTCGCTCGTGTTCGCCGGTCTTGCCGCGACTACTGGCCTTTCAAAAAACATTCGGCGCATTGCCGCCTCGCCGCTGAAATAGCAGCCACTCTAATCATCGTCGGTCGACACCGATCAGTGCGGAAAACATCGAGCGATGCCGAGTGATCTCGTATACGAGACAACACGTGCCGCATCTTCCTTTACATGATTCTAATGAAAAATGTTTAACACATCCAGGATGCGATCGAATTGATCGCCCCATTTTTTTTAAATAGAATAACACGTGCTCGTAATTTCATATGCACTGTGTAACACCGTTCACATGCCGATACACCGCTGTTACGAATTCAGTGAAATCAGAGCTGCATTCCTTTTGCCGATACGACATTCGTCACAGTTCCTTTCGTTCTGTTTACGTATGTCATCCAAATCGAATTAGAGCCCGATTCGTGCCGATAGCCAGTGTCGGTACATATGGTGTTACATTACTCGGTGTGGTTTCTCAGTGACACACATCACTATCTCGTTGGATATATTTACTCCTTTCATACAAGTCTGTCCAGCAAGGATTAAAAACATCATGGATCTAGGTGACAGAGTTTATGCTGCGGAACGGATTATGAAGAAGAGGGAAAAGCGGGTAAGTGAGAGAATTGGGTGCCACCAGATAGCGCCACCACATGGAATCTGTTTGTCTATGCGCCGTTGCCGTTCTCTCCCCTCCTCTACGACAATCTTTCTCTTTCCCACCTATCCCGACAATTCTGCTGCCCCTCCCGTTACCGATTTCTATCGCACACGATGCTCTCGATATATCTCGTCAAACACGAACAGTCAGGTTTCAAACTTTCTTTCATAATTTACAAGTTTGGATAGGTATGTTCATATTATAAATTCATTGTAAACGCGTTAATTCATCTCTTAAAGAATTATTTGTCTTTTTATGCTAAAGTTGACGCGTTTTCACCGCATGCCGGTGATGATCATCGAATGTAGCTGGGTAACGACGCGTGTCGAGATGCTAGCAACGTTGTAAATCGACATAAAACATGCGAAACTTGTCAGCTGCGACCGGCTCATGCGCTATTAAAGCAAACGCGTGTCCTATACCTGCACAGTTATGTCATTGTTTTCCAACTGTCACACTCGCTGCGCACCACGACCGGTCGGCACGCTTTCGTTCGTTGGCCGACGGCCAATAGGTGAGCTTCTACGAGGCGGCTCTCGTGGAAGTCAACGCCGCCCGTTTTATCGACCGTACCGGCTGTGCCGGACGGATTCGAAAATCCGCTGTTTGACGCAGACGCGCGAAACGGATCTTTGCGATCGCCGGCTGAATTTTCACGTCGTCTTTCTTAAAACCGACTGGCGCCAACGTTCTTTCCCATCCGTTCGTGACAGCGCCGTCTTTACGACGGAAGTCGTCGGTAGGTCGTAGGAAACCAGTCATTTTTTAATTTATAAAAACATTTCAGAAGCTCTCCTGAACACAGTTGTTTGTAAAATTCTATTAAAAAAGATGAAACATTGTTTTCATTCATTCGTTACCTCTATATTTTCTATAAGTTTGACATATGGAAGTCATCCCCAATCGCCGGCACTCGAAAGTCACAAATCCCCGGGAAATTTGAATTTGATTAAATTACGTATGGAAAATTTGAACGTCCCTTGTTATAAAATGCTTTAAAAAAGTTCTGCAATGTTGGAAATCGTTTTATATATATAAACTCGATTTTCTTCGCGTTCTATTTTACTTACTTATCATCTATGTATCCATAGAATTCGATTATTTGTTATCTTAATTCCATGATATCCGTGTCACATGTATCTAGGAATAGTGTAATTTACATTGCGCTATTCCTGAAGCATAGTTCGTTACGAGAATCTTCTGAATTTTGAACAGGTGTTCGAACTCTTCCTCCATCTTTAAGTGTCTCGTACCGGAAGTAAGGGGATGAATTTGTAGATGGAACGATACGATTCTCGCAGTTGGAATAATCTTCATAACTTTCGAATACTATTTGTTGCGTACAATAAATGGCGCGAAACTCATTGTTAAGCTGTATTACGAATTTTTATGAATAAATTGTCGTTCTTTTCTTTACAGGGTAAGGTAGAATACTTCGTGAAGTGGAAAGGATGGAGTAAAAAGTAAGTACAAGATAATAATTGATAGAATTTTTATTAAGTTTCATTCGAACAAATCACTAATATAATTGTCTTTATTTTTCTTGTCAGATATAACACGTGGGAACCGGAAGAGAACATTTTAGACGTTAGGTTAATCGAATTATACGAGGAGAGTCAAAAAAATGGCGAGGATGTTATTTCGGTGCCCATAGTACCCCCGAGGAGACCCAGGCGGAGGGACACCAGATACAGTGTAAATATTTATATCGTATTAATAATAAATATTATTGAAAATTTCCGTATTAAATATTAAAGCTCGGTTATATATCGACACCGGTTCGATTCTCCAGAATTGAAAGAATCTTTGAATACGCAGGAACAAGTTCTAGAGAATTTAGTGGTCGAAGAAGAGCCTGGCGGTGACGAGAGAGTCGGGGAAGATAGTCAAGACGAGTCGACAACAGGTAGTACCTCGGCTCGTCGTCTGAATCCCGTTGCACCTGACGAGGACACGCTTCCGAGTTCCCTCGATGGACACGAATCACCGACAGCTCCAGAATTGTCCGCGTCCGCGTTCAGCGTCGACTCGGACAGTTCCAACAGCAGCGTGGACAGTCCTCTGTTGCCAAGGAGAGAACCGACGGGTACGAAGAGGAAAGCCGAGGTTCTCAGCAAGGAATCAGGGAAAATCGGTGTTACTATCACTACCAGCAGTCCTAGCAGCGGTAGCGGAAGTCCTCCACCCAACAAAATCCCTCGGTTGTTACCTCTGAATAGCAGTCTAACGTCACCTTCTTGCCACGTAAGTATCCATTCTTTTAATGGCATTCAACGCGTTAATTTGTACAATAAGAATATATACTAATCAGGCTATTCTAAATCTGTTTCAGAGCCACAAAGTTAACGGTAGGAGGCCGTCATCGTCGAGCGTGAAATCGACACCGGAGGAACCGCTACCAGCAGTCCCGACAACACCGGCTCCAGCTGTGCAAGAGAAAAAGCGTGCCGAAGCCGACGTCCCTCACGGTCCTCCGCCCTCGTTGCCTCGCGCGCCACCGACACCTCTGTCTCCTCAGATAGACACACCTCTGGAACAGCCTGCTAAAAAGAGGCAACACTTGCCGGAACAAAAACAGGAGAAATCCAACGGGGCTGTGACGTTAGACACGAACGGTCACAAGTCGCCCAGTCCCACAGACTCTTACACCAACAACAACAGGTTACCCACTGTTGTGAACGGACATCATAGTCATAATAATAACAGTCATAACAATAACAACAACAATAATAATACCAATAATAATAACAACAATAATACCAATAATAATAACACGCCTAGTGTGAAGCAAACGGAGATCACAAAGTCCGACGTGTACGTCCCTCTCTCCAGCCCTGGCACGGACTACTGGCACGCGAGGAATCCAGTCGCCGATCAGGTGTTCATCACAGACGTCACGGTGAATCTTAAAACCGTTACCATCAGGGAGTGCAAGACTGAGAAAGGATTCTTCCGGGAAAGGGATCCTAAGAGCGATATCTATTAATCGACCTTCTGATAAGGGACGTTCTAATATGTGAATTCTAATATCGAGAAAAAAAAGAACCCACAATTTTTGTATATATAAATTATTTTCACACGTTCAGTGTTAAGTCGAGCATGTATTGACGGTATCGAAGATATATGGAAATCCGTTTCTTAAGGGACGATTAGATTGCGACGGATCGAACGATGTAATAATTTACTGAAGGTTCTGGCAATCGTACGCGTTCTGAATTCGAAGTTCTAAGAACTTTTACAAAATTCATGTATGGAGGTAAGAAGAAATTATACATGGGTCAGTTTAACTTGTTAAACAGATAGATACGTGGTTAAACGAACGATCAAAGATAGTAAGACTATCGTTGGTAACGATACGTCGTCAAGTCACTGTCACACGTTGTGATACACATACACACACACAGTTTGTACATTTTAAAAGCGCTTGATAGACGTACACAATTTTGTGCTAAGAGAAAGATCTGATACAACCTTTTTGAGAGTAAGTCATTTTTCTCGATAATTGCATTTCCGCTTCTATTTAGAAATTGTGCAAAATGGAGGACACGGTGTGTAAATTAGTTCATTTGAAATTTTACTATGATAAAATAGTACACAGATCTGGAAGAAGAAAATATTTTTCTAATTCGTTTTTAGAATATCGGCGCGGCTTCGTAGAAGCTAATTAAAAGGGAAAAAAGGAAAAAAAAGTTTTCAAGTATAGAACGAAACTAATATACTATCTCGACAACGTATTTCTCAGCATTAATGATATTATTATATTTACCGGTAAATATTTACTTTATACGTTTTTTTTCCTGTTTTTTCTCTTTCTTTTTTTACTTAGAATAATATCGTATCACAAAAAGGTGTATCATTCGTTTCGTAGATTTTAGATTCGTTTAGAAAACACACATTCATGTTCGTTTATTTCCGGTTGTTGTAGCATCGCACAGTTCAATGCACAGTTTAATTAGAAGGAATTATGTATATTTGTTATAAACAATATTGTACGCAATGATTTTTTTTAATGCGTTCTATATTATTGGTTTTCGTTGCATATCAAGTTCGTGTTGTTTAATGATGTTAACTGTTGCATTTTCTTTTTTATAAATGCCGTCAAATGTGTTTCTTCGTTTTCTTTTTAGGACTGATTAAAAACACATAGTGTTTTGCGCGCGATTCAATTCCAGAGGAACGCTTATCCATATCCTGAGATCAGCGTTCATTATCATTTCTTTGAATGAGTTTTATTAACCGAATAACATGTTCCTATCTTGAACGATCATGTTGTGTAGTAACAATCGGGTACAACAAGTAAATTTTAATGTAAACGAACATCGCAAACTCGAGCTTCGTTTTCCTTTATTTTTTGTTTTTTAATATATATACATATATATATAATTTTAAAACGACTTCGCACCGTACCAGTTTCGCGTGTGCACCCTCTTTCAAGAACCAGTAAATCCGTGATATAGTGAAATAATGTAAGCGTAAAACTTAATGAAAAGAAACGCATATACGTTGCTTATTTATTGTAACTAATATAAAAATTTTTAGGTTTTTACATTCTTAGTATAGAGTATATTTCTTAGACAATGTACGCAATGCGTCCCTGTTCAACAAACTCTATTATCCTTTTAATTTAATGTTAGATTAAAAGATTTAAAGAAAAAGCGACACTTTTAAAAATTAATCAGTGTTCTTTTTTTGTATAAATTCAAAGACAGAGCGATTGAGATGATTTATCTTTTTTAATGAAAAACAATAATGGGGCTATTTGTGTACAATTAGATCACGATTCCTTGCAAAACGATGATTGCACAGGATTCCAATAAACGTTTAAATTGTTGTAATGTAACACTGTGTATATTGACAAGAGGATATTCTGTACAAATTGTACATAGAGACTCACGTTATATATGTAATGATAACGGAAACGAGAGGTGAAAGAAAAAGTCGCGTAGCTTTAGACGTTTCAGTAATAAATTTATGTAAATAGAACAGAGATGCGAAAGAAAAACCCCCCATTTAAGTTGTAAATGTAATTAAATCGCAACAGCAAGTCTAGAGGAGATCCTTTTTAGCTTTAGAATTATTTGAGATAGACTGTGCGCGTACCTTCGACATTGTTTCTGTACTTATAGATATTCAGACTACTTATACGATTAAAAAACCACTCACAGACGGAGAGAAAATGAAAGATAATCCAGCGCTTAAGCAGGCATATACGATATGTGAACCCCGGTAGTACCAAATTCAACGGTAATTTTAGTTCTGTCTGGTACAGATTCCTTATATTTCAATAAAATCTTTAATTGAACTTTCGTCCGATTGTGTTAATTCTTCCCAATCACTTAAAATTGTGTATGATAAAAGGAAGTTTTATGCAATTGAAGCTAACATGACCTGTACCTAAAGTATCATACATCCTTGAATTCTTTATATCCATGCATCTCTTACATTCGTGCATTATCTACATCTATATATCCCTTTCATCCAAGTATCGCTTTCATCCCTGCATCACGTACATTCCTATATCCATTACATCACTGAACGTTTTACATCCCTGGATCCTTTACATCTCTGCCTCCCTCATATCCCTACATCACATATATCCGTGCATTCCCTACATCCCTCCATCACGTATATCCCTGCATCCTTTACATCACTTCATCCCTTACATCACTTCATCCCTTACATCTCTTCATTCCCTACATCCCTCCATCACGTACATCCATGCTTTCCTTACATCCCTGGATCCTTTACATCCCTGCCTCCTTCACATCCCTACATCTCTTATATCCGTGCATTCCCTACATCCCTGCATTCCTTGCATCCCTGCATCCCTGTATCCCTTACATCGCTGCCTCTCTTACATCTCTGCATTCCCTACATCCCTCCATCACGTACATCCCTGGATCTTTTACATCTCTGCCTCCCTCACATTCCTACATCTCTTATATCTCTGCCTCCCTCACATCCCTACATCTCTTATATCCCTGCATTCTCTACATCCCTGCATGCTTTCCATCACTTCATCCCTTACATCTCTGCATTCCCTACATCCCTCCATCACGTACATCCCCTGGATCCTTTACATCTCTGCCTCCCTCACATTCCTACATCTCTTATATCTCTGCCTCCCTCACATCCCTACATCTCCTATATCCCTGCATTCCCTACATCCCTGCATGCTTTCCATCACTTCATCCCTTACATCTCTGCATTCCCTACATCCCTCCATCACGTACATCCCTGCTTTCCTTACATCGCTGCATCCCTCACATCCCTACATCTCTTATATCCGTGCATTTCCTACATCCCTGCTTTCCTTACATCCCTGCATTCGTTACATCCCTCCATCCCTTACATCACTTCATCCCTTACATCCCTGCATTCCTTACATCCCTCCATCACGTACATCCATGCTTTCCTTACAACCCTGCATCCCTTACATCTCTGCATTCCTTACATCCCTGCATTCCTTACATCCCTGTATTCCATACATCCCTGCAACCCTTATAATAAATATATTACAAATATAATAATATACTACAAGAACTAGTTCCTGTAAAGGTAAGTGAAGGTAAGTAAAGGTAAGTAAATTCAATTTTTGAATTTTGAATTTTTGGCCCTCTAGCGGCAAAAATGTGAACTAAAATCTCAATCTCCGATCAGCGCCATCTGATTTCGAAAAAAGGAACTAAAGCATGCACCATTTTTGGCCCTCTGGCGGCAAAAATGTGAACTAAAATTTCAACCTCCGATCAGCGCCATCTGGTTTTGGAAAAAGGAACTAAAGCATGCATCATTTTTGGCCCTCTGGCGGCAAAAATGTGAACTAAAATCTCAATGTTCGATCAGCGCCATCTGGTTTTGGAAAAAGGAACTAAATCATGCAACATTTTTGGCCCTCTAGCGGCAAAAATGTGAACTAAAATCTCAATGTCCGATCAGCGCCACCTGGTTTTGGAAAAAGGAACTAAATCATGCTGCAATTTTGGCCCTCTAGCGGCAAAAATGTGAACTAATATTTCGACCCCGAATCAGCGCCCTCTGGTGGCCAAAAAAGGAACTAAATTTGTGACAATCTGTTACTCAAAAAGTGCTTACAGCTCTGTAAGGGATGCAAGGATTGCAGGAATATAAGGGATGCAGAGATGTAAAGGGTGCAGGGATGTACAGGATATAGGGATGTAGGGGATGCAGGAAAATAAAGAAAGCAGTGATGTAAGGGAAATAGGGATATAGGAATTGTGAGGGTGAAATAGATGCAGAGATGTAAGGGATGCGGAGGTACAATTAATGCAGGGATATAAGAGATGCTGGAATATAGGGGTTGCAGAGATATAAGGGATGCAGAGATGTAATTGGTGTAGTGATATAAAGGATACAGAGATATAACGGATGCAGAAAGCTAAGGGACGTAGGGATGTAAGGGTTGCAGAAATGTAAGGAATGCAGGGATGTAAAGAATTCAGGAATGCAAGAAATATAGAGCTGTAAGGAAGACAGTGATGTGAGGGATCCGTACCCTTCGGCTGTTGTTGTAAAACTGAGGAAGTCGCATCTTGTTGTAGACTCCGACGAAAGACAGTTACAGTTCCGGAAATCGGATTAATTATTTAAAGAACTCGGAAAGGAAATTGGATAAATTAAATAATAGCTCAGTTGCTTTTTTAAAATGATTTATTTGCTTTTGCCGTGAATACAAGTTTGTCATACAATTATTTTAATAATTTTTCTAATTTCTAAAAATATAAAGTTAAATGTGAGGGACTAATAAGACAGGCAGAACTGTATAATGCTAACTAGATTATATCATGGGGTGTCTGGGACCCCATTATCATAATCTCTCGAGAACAGAAGCATGTCCAGCCTTTGTGCATCTATAATCATGGGTATGTCGTTGGTGATTAGAAGACTTAAGATTTGTTTGAAAATGTTTAAAACTTGTCATGTTTAAAGAGTACTATGCATGGACAATTATGTAATTGGATTATTGGAATTGAATGTATACCTAATGTATAATACAATAATCTCTAATGGTAAGATATTATTATACAGTAACATTAGTTTTAGTACAAAATAATAACTGTTTTGTATTTTATAATTAATGATAGTATATTTTATTTATAGCATTTAATATAATCATATATACAGGAAATGTAACATTAAACTTAACTGTGAAATTCATGTTATCCAACAGTGACCACGACCCAATCTAATATTTTAGCTAAATGCATTACTCATTACAAGATATCATTATAATCTTATGAACATAAAGTATGGCTTGTGATCCAAGGATAATATGTTTCCAACATTGCTGTCCAAAGAATATATTTTGTAAAAATGTCCCAGAAACATGTCCAATTTGTCAAATGTACATTACAAAATATATTGTTGATCCTTTCGTTGTTCCATATCCTTACATAAATGCAGCCCATCAGTCAACTTCTATAGTTGTGAGGCCATCCCAAGGTGATTTTCTAAATGACTATCATAGTGCTAATGATTTACATATAGGAATAACAAATTCAGAGGGGATTGTATTTGAGTATGACAAAGAAGGAATAATAATTAATGATTGGTCAAAATGGATAAACTGTATTGCATTGACAATAGTTCCATCATGTTGGGAAGATCATTGGAATGAGACATTAAAAATAATGTTAAAAGATAGTAAATGGAAGTCTGAAAACTATGACGAAAATTCAATGAATTGTTTTAATTTTGTCCTAGAATTTATATATAATTTACAGTATATGGGTATGACATTTATAAGTAAAGAGTGTATGTGTAATAAACTGATACTGCCAAAAATTCAGGAAGCAATTAAATATAATTCCTTGTTTAAGAAGTTACAGATTAATAAATGTTTTGTATTATAGAAGTCTTTATTGTGTTCATTTGTAATTATTTGTACCTTATTTTTTGTATAAATATATATTAACTAGTCTCTGTATAACGATCTGATATCATTTTGGGGTGTCAGGGACCCCGAAGCACTGGCGGCGCTCTGTGCATACGGACCTGATTCCATCTGGGGTGTCTGAGACCCCGGTGTATGGGTAGCGCTGTCTGTATACTGACCCGATACCGTCTTGGGGTGTCAAGGACCCCGAAGCACTATCGATACTCTATACATACCGACCCGATACCGTCTTGGGGTGTCAAGGACCCCAAGCACTATCGATACTCTATACATACCGACCCGATACCGTCTTGGGGTGTCAAGGACCCCGAAGCACTATCGATACTCTATGCATACCGACCTGATTCCATCTGGGGTGTCTGGGACCCCGAAAAACAGTTGACTCTCTCTGCACATCGCTATATCATTCTGGGGTGTCAAGGACCCCGAAAAACTATCGATACTCTATGCATACCGACCTGATTCCATCTGGGGTGTCTGGGACCCCGAAAAACAGTTGACTCTCTCTGCGCATCGATATATCATCCTGAGGTGTCAAGGACCCCGAAGCACTATCGATACTCTATGCATACCGACCGGATTCCATCTGGGGTGTCTGGGACCCCGATGTATTTGTATACTGACCTGATACCGTCTTGGGGTGTTAAGGACCCCGAAGCACCGACGGCGCTCTTAACATACCGCCCTTGTGTAATGCTGGGGTGTCTGGGACCCCGAAAAATAATTATCCTCTGTACATCGACATATCATCATGGGGTTTCAAGGACCCCGGAGCACTATCAGTGCTCTGTATATACCGACCTGATTCCATCCGGGGTGCCTAGGACCCCGGTGCATAGGTAGCGCTCTCTGTATACTGACCAGCTGGGGTGTCAAGGACCCCGCTGAACCGATGGCGCTGTTTGCATATTGACCAGCTGGGGTGTCAGGGACCCCGCTGAACAGATGGCGCTGTTTGCATACTGATGTGATCCTGTGGTGTCTGCGGTATTATGATAAGATTTATCATAATAAACTAATGTGTTTGATTTTATTTATTACATATAGGCACATTTAATACAAGAACAACTTTATTCGTTGTTCCAGACTATTCAGTAACAAAATGAATTTCAAAACTCCTAGATTACTTTCATGTGGTGGAAGCTATAAGAAAGGGTTCCTTCAATTATTAAGGAATGTTTCATTTGACAATAATCCACACAAATTTGATGTCATTGTTGTTGGTGGTGGACATGCTGGAACGGAAGCATCTGCAGCTGCTGCTAGAATGGGTGCAAAGACATTGCTAGTCACCCATAAAAAAAGCACAGTAGGTACGAATCTTATTTTAGTCTGATTATAAAACACAGTTAATGATTTATAATAATATTTTTACAGGAGAAATGTCATGTAATCCATCCTTTGGTGGAATTGGTAAAGGGAATCTCATGAGAGAAGTTGATGCCTTGGATGGAGTTTGTTGTCGTATATGTGATCTCTCTGGTATTCAGTACAAAATATTAAATAAAAGTAAAGGACCAGCTGTATGGGGTTACAGAGCGCAAATAGATCGTGGTTTATACAAGCAACATCTTCAGGAAGAACTGTTTAATACACCTAGACTACATGTATGTGAAGCTACTGTAGAGGACTTGATTGTACATGGTGATTCCCCAAATTGTCATGGAATAATTCTTAGTATGTCTTTCTTCATTGTAACATTGCTAGATGTGATCAATTTTAAAGATTTAAAAATATGCAGAAAATATGTTACAGGAGATGGAACAAAAATATATAGTGGTGCAGTAGTAATAACAACTGGTACTTTCTTAAAGGGTCAAATTAACATTGGTTTAGAGAAGAGACCTGCTGGTAGACTTGGTGATGAGCCTAGTATCGGTCTAGCTAATACATTAGAAAGAATTGGATTTAAAATGGGAAGATTAAAAACTGGTTGGTATTCCACATCATCTGATGCATTGTACAAAATTTGCAAGCTATTCTTCTATTTTTATAGGCACTCCACCGCGGATAGAAAAGTCTACCATAGACTTTTCTAAATGTAAACTAATGTGTCCTGATGAAGTATCGACACCATTTTCGTTCATGAACGAAACCGTATGGTTACCAGTCGAAAAACAGTTAAACAGTTACATGACGTATACCAACGAAAACGTGTCAAAAATTGTAAAAGATAACATGCACTGTAATTTACACGTTACGGAGGAGATTTCTGGTCCGCGATATTGCCCAAGTATAGAGAGTAAAGTTCTAAAATTCTCAGCGACTCGGCATCAAATTTGGCTAGAACCGGAAGGACTTGATTCACCTATAATATATCCGAGTGGATTATCATGCACACTTCCAGCAGAAAAACAGGAAGAACTAATCAAATGTATTCCAGGATTAGAGAATGCTAAAGTGTGTAAGTATCAAATTATTTAAATACTTTTAATGATTTCAGTACAGTTGTATCAGTTTGTATACAGTGAAACCGGGTTACGGGGTCGAGTACGATTATATAGATCCAAGAGAATTAACCGGAAGATTAGAAACAAAAAAGATTCCAGGATTATTTCTTGCTGGACAAATAAACGGTACGACCGGGTACGAAGAAGCGGCTGCACAAGGAATTGTAGCGGGTGCTAATGCAGCAGCCAAGGTATTCACATTTATACATTGTCATTTGTATATTTTATTAACTAAGTACGCTTACACGAAGTTGTATCTATCAGGTCCTTGATAAAAAGCCATTGATCATAAGTAGAACGGAGGCTTACATCGGTGTCCTTATCGATGATCTAACCATCCAAGGCACAAACGAACCCTACAGGATGTTCACCAGTCGTGCGGAATTCCGGTTAAGTCTACGACCTGATAACGCGGATAAAAGGCTCACCAGGAAGGGATATGAAACTGGTTGCGTGTCTGAAGAAAGAATGGCAAAAACGGAAAATATCCTGTCGAGATTAGAGGAAAATATTGAATTACTGAAAAGTGAAATAAAATCGTGTTACAAATGGAGAAAATTATTGAATCTTCCGCCAACTAAGAACGTTGCGACGAAATCTGCGCTTGACTTACTACATATATCTGACATGAACGTGGATATTGATATGCTGATCGCAGCTTTTCCAGATCGTTTTGGACACCTTGCCAACGATCCAATTATTACAAGAAGGCTACAGGTTTGATAACGATCGTTTTCTTCTTTCCAGTATCTTATCGCAAATAACGCGAATAAATCGGCACAGATTCATTGCTGATCGTTATGACCAATCAATTGATCTTGTAGATAGAAGGGATATATGCGATGGGCATCGAAGAGCAACAGCAAGAGGTCAATGAAATTCGCAAGAACGAGCAGATGATCATACCGCCATGCATAGACTACAGCATGTAAGTTAAATAATGTGAAACGAATGTTAACATCTATCAAGAGCAATCATCCTTAACAATAATTTATTTTAGGCTTCGGTTAAATTTATCCTCAGAGGAGAAAGAGAAACTTTCGGAATTACAACCGCGTACGGTAAGCATACATAACAGCAGGATTTTACATGATGTTACTTTAATATAATAATTATTTCTATCAGATTGCAGCAGCCACTCGAATCTCAGGCATAACTCCTGGCACTATTTTACGACTGATATATTATATAAAAACAAGCGCACCTCAGATAAATGGCATGTAATCGATGATTGATTTGAATAAACAATTTATTCAACCGTATTTCCGTTTTCCATTCATTTCACTTTAGTACGAGAACTAAAAATAATTCTGATACGTGATCGAAATGAAAGCAAGCGACCGGTTAAAACGTCGATCCAAAGTCGAGGGCGACCCAAATTCTCCGAACTATCGCGTGCAAACGTTCAATCTACTAGCAGAGTAAACATAAGGTTATTGACCTGTTGTTTTGCCACCGGATGCACCTTACCAGCGCCCATCAATCTTCTCCAAATAGAAACTTGTCTGTTTGACAAGAATTATCGAAAGTTGATGTTTGCTTCCGACCTAGAACAGGTCCGAATACAGACTAAAATACAATGCGATACGTTTCCATTTGGAACAGGTCAAATCCAGTTGTGGATACTTGTAAAATCCATTTGTTTAACAAGATTGCCGTACAATGCGGTCTAAGTTTCCGTTTCGTCTAACACAGCTAATGTCGGAGTCCACAACATGGAAGTTACCTGATTGAATTAGCAAGGGTTCCGGCGTCCACCTTCAAACTTCTCACTACCGAATTGATGAAGCATACTCAAAGTAAACGTCGTTACGAGATTACTAGTCTAATCAATTTACTTGGAGGCACGTGTGCCTTGAATCTTGAAACGATGATGCAAACGGTTTAAACAATTTGGCTATTTTTCCTATTATATTTTTAGAGAATAAAATACTCTGGTATTCTCAGGGGATGACGAAACCAGAGAATGGGGATCTGAAACTGAACATACTAACAGTTATCATTTATTATACCATTAGTGCGATATTAAATACTGTTACAATACATTGTACAGGAATGGTGTGTACGATCGGCCTTAGTACAGGGTCGTTGTAATCGTAAATTCTCTACCACGATGATAATTGGCTGTTCTCTACATGGTTAATCGAGCCAAGACGAGCTCGTCACAAACTCGTCTTTAATATGCTCGACGAGTTAATACTATTGTCTCTTTATATAGCCTCCGTGTCTGCGAAGAATCCTTCTTCTCGATACACATATAACAATGTCTACGACGGAACAGTTTCTCTCTACGTTCTCGTAAAAAATATACAAAAAGTGACGAACTATTTTGGCCAGACCGCGAATAATACAATGTTGAAATTAGCCTCGTGCTTTTCATTTTATCAAGCATTTTATGTCGGTACTTATATCGTTAATTTTTTTTTTCTCTTAATTAAATACAGTTTCGAATGGACGATTTGGGTTTTGTAATTTTCATTTATTATGGTCGATACTACCGTCCAACATTGAATTTTTCACGGTGCGAAATTACATCGCGAAGGCACGAGGTCTTCGATGAACCTTAGATTACGAATAAATTGGCAAAAGGGTTGTTATTCTTCAACCCTTTCGGCCCCGAAAGATGAAAAATAGAATAAAATAAATTTCGTTATTTTCGACAAATGATTCTAATTACCGTGATGAATTTCATTGCATATTAGGGAGAACGCAAACGTAAGCACTCCGCTTGTCAACGTCCAGTCATTCAAAACGAGCATATTTTGTCGCAATTGCATCGAAGCGAAAGGGTTGAAATTATTGAGATTATAAATCACGATCGATTGTCGTCTGATTGTACCAAAAATGAAACACACAACAGTGACTGAATAAATAAAAATGTTAATCGTTGATTGCTCGCCAATTTATTCTAATTTCCTCTATCACCTCTCGTGCCCTTCTCACGTTTCACCTTAATTCTACTTTTATACTGGCAAGCTACCGTGTACGTTTATTACTCCTATGTTTACTTGTACGTGTGTATGGGTATACATTTCCTCTTATCCAACAACGACTACTTTGAATAAATTAATATAAGGCTACGTCTGTACCTTGCTTCATCGATTATCCTACCTATCCGACTAAACTATGGTTGTGAACGCTAAATGACCTCCTTGCTACCAGCTATCTTTCGAAGAAGAATGAGAATCTTCATCTCGAACTGGTTGCAGTAAAAAGGACGCGAATAACTTACACGCTGAAGGCGCGTTGCAACAGCGTTATCGTTGCCTGATCAACGCCAATCAACGCTTTAATTACAAATAATATTATAACGAGGAGGAGAATGTTATCTACAAGGATTGCGATGGCGAGCGACGATCGATGGGAACGCACGCGAAAACATTCGCTTTTTTATTATATATTCAATAATAATATTAATATCCTGCGAGTTTTGCCATGCCGCCGCGTCGTTACAGATCGTTCGATCGCGATTATACACAGCGAGGGATTTATAATCGAGTTAATGCTCGTTGATACACTAATTACACGGTGCCGTTCACACAAGCTTCGCATTGTCACGCGATCATTCGCAACGTCCACGCACGCAAAGTGGACACGTATCTCGTCGAAGAACACCGTAATTTTAATCCTTTATTACCGAGGAATTATTGCAAATCGGTGAGATTTCAACGACGTGACGTAGCATTCCACTCTCATTCATACAGAAGAAAAGGAACTAGTATGGTTTTCGAAACTATCTGTTTTCAAATGGAAGATTCATTTTGCTTTGGAAAAGGTTTGTGAATAATTTTCTCACTTTTAAAATTAATACCATCAATATCGATGCGAATTCATTTCTGATTTTAGACTAGAAACAATTTACCACTGAGCGAATCCTCGCACAGAGTTCAGATAGTTTCGACTAACATGAGAACGAAGAATAACGCGTGGATCAGTCTCTTGGATGCACCTGAAGAAACAATGACAATGACAATGATTACTCTACTCACGCGTTCCTGTGCTCTAAAGAATAGTAAACCCGAGTGCGAGGTACTCTAAACTCTACGTAGACGCGAGACGGTTTTTAGGCGGTCCTTGCTTCATCGTCGGCCACTTCCTATGAAATTTCAGAAACCTGACAGACTTTAATTTTATAGAAAATCAAATTACCAATTCTATATGAACTGTATAGTTATTGAAAAATAAAAGAAATTTCAAGGTATACACTGTTGATTATTTCAATGTAAAACCCTTAATCGATGAATTTGAACGAATCTGTCGTGGAATGTCATCGGAAGTTCGAGCGGAAATCGCGGGAATGGTCGCACGCGATGCAAGAACCGTGGAGACTTCGCTCGGTCTCCGGCTGTTTGCCCATTGTATACAGTTCGGCACATTGAACACCACGTTTGGAAGGCATTTCAGAAGGCATTGAATTCCTAGTGTGTATTGTCACGAGTTTCTCGTCGATTATGCCCTGACCTACCTACGTACGATTTCGTGTAAGCGTGACTCATATCAATGAAAAATAAAGAAAGAATAACGTCTCTCGTCGCGAACTTGAGCGAGGATACGACGAGAACTTCATTGCTTTTGTATTGTTCGTTTAACACCTTCGATCGGTATTTCGTTTGTATTCCAATTAAAATATTTCCACGGAATCGCCGATGAAATAAACTCGATAAGGATCAGATGAATTTCCAAAGAAATACCAACTTAAGGGTTAAGGTGTATTAAAAAATATAAAAAAAAGAAGGTCGTTCGATGCTTCGTTGTGCTTCCATTGAAACTACGAATATAATCTGTAAATTCTTATCAAAAGTTGTTGTAAAGGTGTTCGTTCGAAAGTCTTACCGTTTCAAGTCGATTTTGGCAGTGCGGATACACTTTCTTTCGAACCTCTCTATTAGTCGTACGATCATCTGTGCCCATATTAATATACATTATGTTGTGTCGACAATCGGGATAGCTAGGTACTTTCAAATTCTAATTCTTCAGACATTTTTATGTCCTTTCATTTATTCAAAATAAAAATTTTCATTATCAAAATTTCAATGGCTGTGCAGTTATCCACGCAAAGATAACAAATGGAAAATGGCTTAGAATGTCCTCGACAGGAAGGGATTTATTAAGAGGTCGATATCGAGACGAGGTCACGTTGCAAAAAAAACCTCTTAATGATACATGTTAATGGCAGGCAGGATTGTAGCCGGTTACGATGCCGATGCAAATTTATGCTAAAGGAAATCGGACAGCTTTAGATACGCTCGAGGAATAACGAAGAGAGGAAAGCTTGGAATTCACGGTTCGTCCTTTCGTGGCAGGATGACGGTGAACGCGGGTCAAGGTCGTCGCATACTTCATCGAATTTGTCATCCCGATTGTTCAGTCTTTGGAATCGGTTATGAATATGCAACAATTTGGTCCCGATCGTATTATTCTTCTTTAAAACAAATATCACTATGAATCGTACGAAATTTTAAACAAACTACGACATGGACGTGTCGAGTCCTTGTATAAAATTGAAGAAATCAACGAGAGAGACCCATTCGGGATGATCTATCAACGATTCGAACAGCAAAAATAGGATCAAAATAATTATTTCCAAAAAGACGGTATAAATAACAACGCGTTTCTCGATATCATCCTGCAGAAAAATGGACACCAGATTCTCGTACGCCTAATTAAACTGACCTTAGATTAGAGAGAAATCGAGGGAACTTGACGGTTGTAGAAACGACGATCTTAACGCGAAGCGTACTTACTCGACCGAGTCGAAGCCGCGACTGTCCCTCTGGGGGATCTCTATGAATATTTGTCGCTTCGCGTTGTTTTCTCTGCTCTCCATTGTGTTGTCTAGCGAGACAATGAACTATTCAAAGTGACAGACTGTCGTAGTACCGTTTTCTACATTCCCAAGTCCACGGGGACGAGCGGTCGTCTCTGTTCGCCACGACTGCTGTATCCAACCAAGATCGACGACCTCGAGAGAGAAGAATTTCCAACGGATGGATTCGAGGACTAATTCGAGCGGACATTTTGCCGTGAAAACGGCGGCTGGTCGAGTGGCAAAGTCATCCGGAACGGGGATGAACGTTGCTGGTTGAGGAATTTATCGGTCTCGAGGTCGGCGACCTTCTAACGCGATCAGCGAAGCGGTTCGACGAATCATCGTCCTCGAAGATCGATGAAACGTAGCAAGATATCGAGGGAAAGGGTTCTGCTTGGCCGGTGTCGATTCGTTTTAACCGCTTCGTATACAGTGTACTTTCCGCTTTCTATACTTCCGTGTCTGTTTGGCCTGGAAAGACACGTGGCCAGCTCTGCGTCCCGTCCAACGGATCCCGTGGATCTGTCTGTTTACGGGAAAGATCTTTGAATCTCGAGAGCGCGATGTTCGAGGGCCGATTATTCTTTAACAGATGGTCTCCAACGGAGCAGTCTTCGTACTGGGATTCTGAGTGACGCTGTCGCCCATGCTGGGCATCCCATGGCTCGTGGTGCTTAGCCCGTTTCCCTGTCTTTCCGCGTTCGTTCTCGGGTTCCTGTTGCAGATCCGCTTCAAAGCGGCCCGGACTTGAGGCTGGCAGCCAACCACCGCGAATATCAGCACCCCTTGGAACGCGTTTATCATGTCCGTGAAATACCAGATGTACTGGGGCCCGCCGACTGCCCATGAGACCACGTCGGCCACCCAGGTGACACCCATCACGACCACTAGCTTCATGCAAACGCGGCCAAGCGCGGCTCTGAAACAGAAATAATTTGATAGTTAGAAATAATTAGAAGTAGGGTTTCTCTCATTTTTAATTGGATACTCGGATAATAATCATTAACTTCGTGTCTCAATAACTGAATAGGAATTTCGATAGCAAGGTAATCGTAGTTTCGATAAGAGCTCACCAGTGAATTAAGTTAACTGGCCACCGAGCAAGATTTCGTCCGGATAAACGAACCTCAACCACGTATATTACAATCTTTCAAGATTGACTAGACACTGAAAGCGGCGAGAGTCGAGGAGGGTTTATTAGGTTTAAGAAGGAGGATCCCGATGGTCCGGATAACTTAATTGGCTAAAGCAGTCTGGGAAGTGAATGATACGGGTAGACGTGGTCCGAGATAAGCTTTTTTTAGAGAATAAAAGAATTCCGAGAATTGCCTATACTTTCATTCAAATTCCTTCTCTGAAAATTTATGATTTTGAATTACAAGTTAAAAATGAAAAGGGTAGAAGGGTGTAATTTACAAATTTTGGAATCGTCGTTCATCAACGCACCGCAAACCCTGGCGACGAATATCCGGCGACGAAAAACGACCCCGATTCAATTAGCGCAGCGTTCAATTACGACGGGCATAAATCAGCCCACAAACGTATCCGTTTGTTCGCTATGACACGTTGCATCGCGCATAATGCATGCATTGCATTGTGACCGAAGCCAAAGCATTATTAATTCGTTCCGGCAGAGTATTCGCAGCCTGTTACGGTGTTGTGTCGCGAAATTATACCATTACAAAGGTTACACAGCCCTCTTGCCCCCCTGTCATTTCGGGTCTCCTATAAAATCTGGTATTTCCAAACATTACGATCGTTTCTTTTATCCTATGCGTCTGAATTTTATTTTTCATTATCAAAGTTACCGTGCCATTTTCCTTGAATTTTGCGCTAAAATATTTTTTATTTTACGCTCTATTATAATGACTGTGTTCGTAACACAACCCAGTGATGTTGTGACAGCGGTTTTGCTAATTGTTACCAGTGATTTTCACTCGTTGACGGGCTAAAAATAGAGGGACGAGAGAAAGAGAGAGAAGAGGAAAGCGAGGGAAAAGCGTGGAGAAAGTTTGCTAGTTGTCGCGTGTGGAACGAGTGGAAACTCGAGCCGATTGAAACTACCGTCCAGATAGGCAATTTCGAACGCACCTCCTCTCTAAATACAGCTTCACTTCCGGCGGGCCTCGGTTATGAAAGTCAAATCAGCGGCGCGAACGTTCGCGTAAAGTTTCGCTATTACGACTCCGGTTAATAGCCGGCCGATTTTCAACCGAAGAAGATGTTGCCAGATGGAAACTTTAACGATTAGTCAAGAGAAACAAACACGATAGTTTATGAAGTTATTTTTATCAAATTCAAAGGTGAAAATAATTTTCATTTTATTGAAATATATATCCGTGATTTTGGGTTGGGGAAAGGATTAAGGGGTGTAATTTGAAACGAGCTGGCTCTGTTGGCGACACGCTTGTCAGTTCGCAGCCTTCTGGTCGTGAAGCTGTGTTAACGTCGAGAACAGAGGATTTCGTGACGGTGAATACTGGTCCCTGGCTCTAAAATTACTCGGAGGAGGCTACGTTTGCATTCGGAATTATGAATCACAATCACGGCTAATCTCGATTCTCTACGTCGTGTAATGTAATTCAGCTTTTAACAAAATTCTCTCCGCTCTCTCGGTTCGCGCAGTCCGCGAAACTCCTGAAACCTTCCACCGATGTACCTCGCTCGAATAACGTATAGTTAGATCGAATGTTAATGGATATATCACCGCGATTTCCGCATAAATGATGCAAGACTTTTATTACCCCTGTTGCGGGACGGTCATCGACCAGTTTGTTGTTCGAATAAAAATTTAATTCGATTGAAAGATTCATCGGAACGTCGACGATTTGGTATCCGAACGACGAGCCAAGGTTCGTCGGTAATTATATGCGCGGAAAGCAAATTAGAAGCGAGTGTGAAAGCAGAAAGGTGAACTCGCGTGTGCTGAGGAACGTGCATACGCTTTGAGACAAGTGGGGACGAGGAAACGCGTGATAAGCATGAAAGTGGAAGAAAGGAACGCAAATAAACGGTCGATCACCTATGAACAGCTACGAACGAAAGAGAGAAAAAGACTGAAAGTTTTCTAAAAATACTACAATTTTTCTAAGTTACTTTTAATTTTAATATCGTTGAAATAAAGATTTTTTAAATTCCTGCTTTTCTTATAAGCCTACTATGCTCGATACTGTACGAAGATGGCATCGGAATCATGGTAAAATAAACGCGAAAAAAGAAACGAACTGTCGTGTCTCAAATTATGCTCAGAAGACTGAACTGAATGGGACAGAAGATGAAAAGAGTGAAGGACAGGAAAACGAGCGAGTCGAAGGAAAATCATACACCGAATAGACAGGCTGCGCGTCTGTATTTTTATTCGATGCTTCAAATTAATGCCACTCTATGAGTTTCAAAAGAAGACAGCCCCCATGGATCCAGCGACAGGTTAATTGACGTAACGAGACAGAAAGGTGGATACGGATTGTTAGCGACTGAGACTGGAAATATCGGCGGCATTAATGACAAAAATGAACAAAAAAAAAATAATCCCGAAGCGACACACAGGTTGTCGATGCACGATCGCTCGTTACCCTAGCAAGAATAACGAGACGTATTTAACGAGGGCCATTTTATTTGTGCAAACTACGGTAAAGCTGACTCTGAAATAATCGCTACTAATCGTTATAAAAAATTTAAAAATAAAAAGAAATATAACAGGAAGTATCGCTGACAATTTACAACATACTTTCGACGATATTCGTCGGGTTTAATGGATTACTGGAAAACAGAAGGAATAGATCAAACAATACGATTCAATTTCCTCGAGCTCTTGTTCGAAACAGAAATACAGAAAGAATGTGGGAAAGAATGTGTCTCGAGCATCTTGTCGGACAGAAAAATTGAAGCGATGACAGGAGAGGAGACGCGAAAGAAGAGTAGAGGAACGCGACAGACGGGCACAAAGTAAATTCATTTATTACAGTCCAAGGAGGAGAGATTAACAAGTGTACAGTGGACAGAGACAAGGGAAATAATGTTGGTCTATTTAGTAACCGGCCTCGGTGGTAGCCGATCATTTTTCTCAGGACTTTCGTTCACCGGAGTAGCCCTGTATCCGGGATCTCACGGACCTCGAGAAAACACAGCTCTCCACTTTACGGCCCTTCAAATCCTCGAAGAGAAACGACGAGAGACGAGAACGCGATGCAACGGCTGTATCGTTCAGACGACGGTCATACCTGCTATTTTATTCCTGTCCTAAGAATATTTCGAATTACCAGAATAAAAAAGAAATAATTCTACGATTCCAAGTTTTATTTGCGATCAAGTTTATTTTAGCCAGGACGTTGAATTTTTTGAAAATCTGGCAGCGACCAATCATTCAGAGAAACTTTATGAATGAACGATCTCCTTCCCACGGCTTTTCGAGCCTGTGTTGCATCAATCGTTCCGACTTTTCGGCGGGCGCATTATTTTGAAAATATCGCTTAAACAATCGCCGCTCGAATCTCTTGTACAAAACAGCGAAGGTGATCTTCATCATCGTCTGTTCCATATTTCTTGTAATTTTATAGACCGTTAAGTAATCAAGCTACGCTGTGAAAATAAATCAGAACCGTGCTTTGGATAGACTAAATTGCAAAGAATTATAGGCGAGTCATTATTTTCCTATCGATAATGGAAATGCCGGATATCCGTATTAGTGTAACACGGCTGACAGATGAAAGAGTCTGGTTCCTCGAAATTACGAATTGGGAACGAACGGGCAGCAGGATGCGAGGGAATCTCTATTCCGCTATTATAGCCAGCTTGTCCCTATCTCTCCATAGACAGATATAGAGGAAGAGAGGTGTGTACTGCCAAAAGAGAATCGCAAATTGAGATCGTCAATATCAATTTCGCGCAGGACGAGGGAGCAAAGGTGGTTCGAAGGGACGGCGTACGAATGGAAAATAACGATTCGATGGCTGATATCTGTCGGCGCGGCAGTGATAAAATAAATTCTCCTTTGAGCCTGCGTTACTCTGTGAAAAGGCTGTCGACTGACGAGCATAAATAATATTAAATATCCGAAAAAAAAAAAAAAAGAAAAAAATGTGATTCGTCAAACGACACCCGTCGCGCCTCGCTGCTCTCCATAGGGGATGAAACACAGGGGTGAAAGGAACATTCGTATAAAATTTTCTCTCGAAATTGAACTATATGTTAAACTTCGAATACGTCAATTTTCTTTTTTTTTCAATTTAATTCCTAACGGAGGGAATATGGAAAAAGTAACAGGGTACAAAGGGTTAAAGTAAACGACCCGAGGTTGAAACCGTCTGCTGATCTCGATTATTCGCGGGTAAACCAGGACGGAACCAGTTATTCGTGATATTTATCGGCCCCGAGCGTTGTCTTTCGCGCCGAAATAAAGCGTCGTTCGCCGTCGGCAATAAAACGAAAGCGTCGCACGGTTCTCCCGTTGCACGGGAAGCTCGTTCAACGTTTCCGTAGCTTTCCTCTCTGTTAATCGTTGTGTATCGTTTCGCAAACCGGAATCAAATAAACGAGCTTCTTTAACTTCGCTACACCGTCGGCTTAAGCTCTTCGAGGTTTACCGACTCGCCGCGTAATCGTTTCTCCTTAAGCTTCCGCGGAGTTTCGTGGAAACGCGCTTGCACCCCACGGTAATTACCCGGTAAAGGTGTAACTTTCTATACTTCCCTCTGTTTTTCAGACATTTTCGCGTGTTACGAAAATGGATTACGATGTAAAAACCTCAATCGTGATGGAATACAATTATTATCATTACTGTTAATTTGATTTGTTTTTTAATTAAACAAAGTTTAAAAGAATTGCAAAATTTTTAAATAATCGCGCTATTACTACGAGAGTAACCTTCAAAGTTTCGACAAGGAAGGTCACATTTTCGACAATTCGCGTTCCATGTCGGCGATTAGGCTATCTTGGATTTAGAATGACCATGAGTCCGTAGCTTTCCGAAGCTTTTAGCATCGTTTAGGCTCTCAGGAAGATCTAGATCTTCCGTAAGTCTGGCTGAGAGTAGAATTCTCGAGCCAAAAATAATCACGGCACAGTATCATCGGTCGCAACTAGGAAGCAATGAAGCTAGCATCAAAGAGAATGAAATTTTCCATGCAAGCAAATCTGCGCGCGTTAAATCGACTTTTCTCGGTCGTTCTCTAAGAACTTGTAAAAGCAACGTGTCTGCTAAACGTTCGCGGAAAAATGCCGTAAATATTTAGCCAAAACAAAGACTGCACGGCGAAACAGATCTCCCGCGTTAAATGCAAAATATGTTTACGAATCGTTTGTTGATTGTTCGAGAAAGTTTTTGGTAAATATTCTTTTTCTCTTGAAAATACGCTCGTAATCACATCCGGTCGTGCATCTTAAATATACTAATTTTATCGGCCAGATAATTTGTTTCCCTTTCGCTCGCTTATTGTCTGATCAAACAGGAAATATTCACTCACCTTTCGGTGGTGCTTTTCACGAATTCACCCTTCCACAGTCCGCACGTCAGCTCGCGAGCAGTCGCAGCGAAGAATAATAGATTTACCGCCAGAAGAACACCGATGGGTCCGAAAAAGTATGCCAGGATCTCCATGTCACCTGAAACAGACAGACCAAATATGTTATTCCAAATGATCGAATATTTTTCTGTTTGATCGATCGAAAATTTATCAAATTTCCACGAAATCACGTTCCTCATTTTGTGCTAGTCAATTGTTTACGAAAACATCGATTCGAAAGTTTGCAAAATCAGATCATTTGTCGAAGAGGAAAAGTTTGAGCTGTGAAAACGAAGTTGGACCTGGAAACGCTCTAAATATCTGGATCTCCGCCGCTTCGAGTTCGCTGGCGTGTTCAATAATAAACGTTTCGATTGCTCGAATAGCGAGCCAGTTTATCTTTACGACGTTTAATTCGAGCCAACGGTGTTCTCGCTACGGATCTCGATCTGTCGGATCTGGAAATCGCGAGGGGGTGCGTTTCCTTCGATTCTCGGTACCGGAAGTCACGGAGGTCACGTACGGTTTAACCGGATGCGATTAAACTGTTACCGGGGTGAAACAATTTTGATAACAGCTTTATCGAGCAATCTGATTATTATTACATGACCATTTAATTAATTAAAATTGATTTCAATCGAAATTTCATCGACACGTTTTTTCTAATAAACGTAACTTACTGTACGACCCATTTCTCGTTAAAATACGACGACGAATATAATTTCTTTTTCTGTTTCTCGTGATACACGACGTTGTAAGCATAATTATTATACTACAAGTTCCGCAGGCACGATTTACCGACTCGAATCACCGGACACGATCTAATATAGCTTCGAAAAATTGTATATAGCTGCGTGAAAAATAGCCAACAGACTCTATTAAAATAAAAAAACAGGAAAAAAGATAGAGCTGAAAGAAACACGTAGGTGTCGTGCGTTCTCAGTCGGTGTACTCTTCCTCCAAGGGTAAATTCTTTCGAAAATAAAAAATAAAAAACATTTTCGCGTATCGAAACAAAAGATGTACCGTTACACCTCACCCTAAAACGTTCGCTTGAAAAATGAGGTAAAGGTGGGGGAATGAAATTTGTCAACGATCGTGGAATAAAACCGCGTGTAATCGTCCCGATAGCGGAGAAAAATCGCTTCCGGTCGGAATAGGTGCAAGGACGGACGGACTGAAATAAAGCACGGCAAAAAATTTCGGTGAATGCCGCAAATAGATCGATAATTTACAGCGGGGTAGAATAAATCGTCGGTCTTGAACCCGCTGACAGGAACAGTTTGTTTTCTTAGCGTTAGTAAAGCGAGCAACGAAATGACGGCGAAGCGAAACTAGCTTGTCATCATTATCCTTGTTGTCTTGTGCGCGTACGCGACCGGAAACCGCGTTTTATTTCCGTGTTACGTTTATTTTTAATGATGGTACAATTCGAGTGAACGATAACGTCGAAATGAATTCGTTAAGAGGAGGCAGCAGGGGGCTGTAGCTTGTTCATTTGAATTATTTCACTCGATATTTTCGATATTCTGCCGCCTAGGCCGTTGTTAATTGGATCCATTTGTTTCCCTTTTCAAGATCCCATTACGAGCAGAACTGGATTTTCGGATATTCCTCGCGGTTATGTTTCACCGTCTGTCGTTACTTTCGAGCAATTTCCATTGCTCTGTTCGTCGTTTTTAAATCGCAAAATACAGTTTATTTATTTGTATCACATCAGTTACCGAGGATTATATTTTATCTACATTTTATTAAAAAAATATAAAGCGATTATTTATGTGAGATTAGAGCGAGCAATAAATCACGGAAAATCACGAAATCTCCCTTCGCCTTTCATTTTCCTTCGGAGCAACAATATATAATTACAAAGTTCGTGTTCTATCGTCGAAAACCAAAACGAAGTAGAATCTAGCCAAGGAATTACAGACAAAAATCTGAACATGAACTTATCCCTCAGCACGCGAAACCCTCTCGCCAAAATTACGGTGAATCACGTAAGGGTAAATTATCTGGGTGTCCTTGTTTTATCCATTACCTAAGGTCTAAGGAGGTGATAAATATAAAACCTTAGTATTAACTGGTATAAAATATGATTAATCAGAGTTGCAACAACGAACGAGGAACTAGCTGTCCGAGGAAACGGCTTGTCAGCTTCAATTTTCCCCATGGTCGAGCGTGCTTTGACCGTAGAACATTCGATTTGAAATTAAACGCTCTTTTATTCCCTCTTCTATCTCGATGCGGTCGCGATTTTATCGAAAGCGAACAAAAACCCGGTCGCGGTTGCGGTCGATCCGCAAACCTGCATTACTGATCGAATAAAGAATACAATTTATTTTTTTCCCATTCGTGGTTAACTACGTTTTCCCTTTTTCTGTCATTTTTTTCCCTTTTTTTTTTTTTACAAAATGGCTCTATTAACGCACGGTGGTTTAGGAATCTGCGGTCGGTTCGTCATGGTAGAGGTAATAAAATTTTAGCCGGGAACCACGAAATCCGTTCCGCTCGGCGAGCACCGTGCGAATTTTATGGTAAATAAAGAACCATCCGATGCTTGGACCCCGTTTATCGGGCCAATGCTGTCCCTCTTTTTTCAGCAACCCCCATAACCGAGCGCGCAATCTGCCAGAAGCACGCTTCCACGAGGGCCAACGTGGCCACTTATCGGCGTGAGGGTCGCGCTAGTCTGCAAACAAACTCATAAATAAAATCCTTATGCGGCAACTTTCATGGACGGCGATGCACACCAGCGCGATATTGAACTGCAGCTGACCCAGTTGCTGGTATTAATCCGGGATGCGTGAAAGGGAGCCTGGAGGATTTCGAGACTGTCAACGACACACGCACGAGGACGAATAAACGGCTCTTTCGGATCGACCGATTTTCTCTCCGCAAACTGCTGATTTCTCTTCTCGAACGGACCTCTCGTCATGGAATATTCAAAGTGAAATTTCTTCGAACAAGTTCCACTTTCCTGGGAGAAAGTTTGTCGACTGATATTTGCGAGACGTTCGAACGTTATACCTTACCGTGTATTTCGCAAGTTCTCCGCGTCCTCTGTATCGATGTAAAATTTCAGTGAAACCCCTTTGGAACTTGTCACGAAACTTTTTGAATGAACGAATAAGTCGCGTTTCGACCGGCTCTTCTCGCGATCGCGCGGCTGAATATTAAACGACCAGCTCGAACGTTATGCGTTTCTTTGCAGCCTCTCTCGTCTTTCCTTTTTACCAGCTCGCTCATCAAGCGACTCAAAATTCATCGTCCGTCCGGCCCGACCAAAATTCACCAACTTTTTCCAACCACGCGTCCGCTCTTCCTCCGTCGGGACGGTCGGTTTCTTGGCGAAAGTTTTTCTATCAAGATTACCTGGCCTCACTCCAATGCTCGCGGGGTTAAAGGGAACAGGGGATAACCGTTATCATACCGGTGGCCTGGGAGCCGCAACTCCAAATGGATTTTGTTTGCTCGGCCAAGAGGAGAAATAATATTTCCTCCTGTACACGCCGCGACTGATAATGCCCGACTTTTTAATCAGACTTCGAACCTCTGCGGGCCGGATTCCTTCGAGGTATCACCGTGGATAAATTTTGTTAGCCGAAGCGAGAAGAGGGACGATGTAATCAAGTTTATAAAAGATTTATCTCTTTCTTCGAACTCGGAAAGGAGAATTAATTTTCGTATAAGATATTCTTACTTCTTTTTTGTTTTTCTAAATTGATGAACGATAAGAAGAAAGAAATAGTTGGTGAAGAATAAAAGAAAGAAGAGAGTAATGAACGGATTACGAATGCCGAGGGCACCGCGAAAGAGAGAGCAAACTGGCGTCTATATTTGCTGAATTTTGGCCGCTTGCCAACAATAGCTGTTTCGCCTAGGTTATATCTCACTCCATGGCAACCCATAACAAACATAAGTGAATTATGTCGACGCGTGCCGTTCGATACTTTACGGGAGCGCGGTCAAACCCGATTAGTTTGGCGTCGGAAACGCTTCGCGAGATCAATTGCGTGCGCCCCCTGTCACCTTTCGTTTCTACCACCGATTACTCTCACCCTATCGCTGATTTACCCTTTTAATACTAGATGGTTTTTCGGCTGATCGCGTGGATTCGTGTTTTTCCTCGCCCCATGGATTAATTAAGAAACAGTTAAAGTATTATCTAAAGGAACCTAATACTTGTTACTAAAATAACATCAGTGGTACTGGATTTGGTTACAAAGATCAATTACCAGAATCAATGTTGCAACCAGAGACGAAAATACCAGAGAAGCGTAAGGGAAGCTACAATTAACGTCAAGAATGCCTGGAACAAGGCTGCTTTCATTAGAACGACTAGATTGGCTGGCAACAGCAGCGGTTCTCGCTAATGGTATCGTTCTTCTTCGGAAGGTGACAAAGATACATCGTTCCTGATCGTCGTTGTTTTTTCCGGATGATCGAGTTCGGGGATGAAGATTTACCGTTGTCACTTTCCGCGCGACAACAAGCTTTCCTCGCTTTATCAATTACCAATGTTCCGGCGCGGGAAGTCGAGGCGGACGCGTAAATCAACGGGACGAGAAATTTGAAAAACGCGTTAAATTCGCGAGCACAAATCGTTGTCAAATATAATTAGCCGGGCTTGTTGTATCGGTTTTGCCTGGAGCCGCGCCACCCTCGCTGAACAACCGGGCAGGCAGGCCAGATTTATCACCGGCGTCATTTTAATCGCCAACGGTTTTTCAGATAATCGAAAGTGATTGCGAGAGTTTGTATCAGCGTATCGGGCAACGGGCCCGCGAATTCGTTGCCAACAAATTTCCATGCCGGCCAACCAGCACACCCGAAAAACCAAACCTATCGTCCTGAAACTCCGATGTAATTCTATTTAGATTTACGACACTCGACGCGGACAATTTTGAATTCCAGTAACTAGACGCAATTTATCTCGAATGTTGAATGGCGCCAACAGCTGGAGATCTTTGAAAAAAAGAAAATGTAAAACCTAGGAAATATGAAAATATGATTACTTACACAAAAATAATGAAATTTATAAAAATCATAAATCCTAAAACGTAAGATTATCACCGTATCATCTTCTCGAAAGAAAGTACTTTA